CTAGTCTGGATCTGCATTTTCCTTGGATCCCTACGCGACATCCGCGCGGAACAGATCCGGTACTCTGTGCCAGAGGAGCTGGAAAGGGGCTCTGCGGTGGGCAACCTCGCCGAGGACCTGGGACTGGAGCCGGGGAAGCTGACGGAACGCGGAGTCCGCATCGTCTCCAGAGGTAAGACCCAGCTCTTTGCTCTGAACCCGCGAAGCGGCAGCTTGGTGACAGCAGGGAGGATCGACAGGGAAGGGCTCTGTGACAAATCCCCAAAGTGTACCGCAAATCTAGAGATTCTCCTGGAGGATAAAGTGAGGATTCTTGCTGTAGAAGTGGAAATTATCGATGTTAATGATAATGCTCCCAGCTTTGGAGCACAGCAGAGGGAAATAAAAGTCGCTGAAAATGAAATTCCTGGGACAAGATTTCCTCTTCCTGAAGCTTTTGATCCGGATATAGGGGTGAACGCCTTGCAAGGTTACCAGCTCAGCTCGAATGCTCACTTCTCCCTGGACGTGCAAAGTGGGGCCGATGGGAGTAAGTACCCAGAGCTGGTGCTGGAGAACGCCTTAGATCGCGAGGAAGAAGCAGTTCATCACCTGGTTCTCACTGCCTTCGATGGAGGCGACCCGGTTCGCTCTGGCACAGCCACAATTCAAATAACACTGGTGGACACCAATGACAACGCTCCTGTATTCACTCAGCCAGAGTACCTCGTTAGTGTGAAGGAGAATTTGCCTGTAGGCACCCGGCTACTTACCATAAAAGCCACTGACCCAGATGAAGGAGCCAACGGAGAAGTGACATATTCTTTCCGGAACGTAAGAGACAAAATATCCCAGCTCTTCCGGTTGAATTCTCTGAGTGGTGACATAACAGTGTTGGGGGAGCTGGATTATGAGGACTCCGGATTCTATGATGTTGACGTAGAAGCCCATGATGGGCCTGGTCTTCGAGCCAGAAGTAAGGTACTGGTGACAGTTCTGGATGTAAATGACAATGCTCCAGAAGTCACCATCACCTCCCTCACCAGCTCTGTCCAGGAAGCTTCCTCCCCAGGCACAGTGATTGCACTTTTCAATGTGCATGACAGTGACTCTGGAGAGAATGGCCTTGTCACTTGCTCTATTCCAGATAACCTTCCATTCAGGCTTGAAAAGACCTATGGAAATTATCATCGGCTGTTGATACACAGAACTCTGGACAGGGAAGAAGTCTCTGAATATAACATTACAATAACTGCCACCGACCAGGGAACTCCACCGCTGTCTACAGAGACTTATATCTCACTGCAGGTGGTGGACATCAATGACAACCCACCCACCTTCACCCATGCCTCCTATGCTGCCTACATTCCAGAAAACAACCCTAGAGGGGCTTCTATCTTATCCATAACAGCCCAGGACCCAGACAGTGGTGAGAATGCCCAGGTAATCTACTCTCTGTCAGAGGACACTAGGCAGGGGGCACCTCTGTCGTCCTACATCTCCATCAACTCTAACACTGGGGTCCTGTATGCACTGCGTTCCTTTGATTATGAGCAGTTTCAAGACTTGAAGCTACTAGTGACCGCCAGGGACAGTGGGAATCCTCCACTTAGTAGCAACGCGTCTCTGAGCTTGTTTGTGCTGGATCAAAATGACAATACTCCTGAGATCCTGTACCCCACCCTCCCCACTGATGGCTCCACTGGTGTAGAGCTGACACCTCGTTCTGCAGAGCCTGGATACCTGGTGACCAAGGTGGTAGCAGTGGACAGAGACTCAGGACAGAACGCCTGTCTCTCCTACCGTCTGCTCAAGGCCAGTGAGCCAGGGCTCTTCTCAGTAGGGCTGCACACAGGCGAGGTGCGCACTACACGGGCCCTGCTGGACAGAGACGCCCTCAAGCAGAGCCTAGCGGTGGCTGTGCAGGACCACGGTCAGCCTCCTCTCTCTGCCACAGTCACGCTCACCATAGCAGTGTCAGACAACATTCCAGACATCCTGGCGGATCTGGGCAGCATCAACACTCACACTGACCAGGAAGATTCAGACCTCACACTGTACCTGGTGGTAGCTGTGGCTGTGGTCTCTTGCGTCTTCTTAGCCTTTGTCATTGTGCTGATGATACACAAGCTCCGTCACTGGCATGCAACTCGCCTGCTTCGGGCTGCAGGTAATGGGTTGTCATCCATGCCTGCATCACATTTTGTGGGCGTGGATGGTGTACATGCTTTCCTACAGACCTATTCTCATGAGGTCTCCCTCACAGCAGACTCTGGGAAGAGCCACCTGATCTTCCCACAACCCAATTATGCAGACACACTCATCAGCCAGGAGAGCTGTGGGAAGAGCGATCCTCTCCTGGTGTCTCAAGACTTGCTTGAAATAAAAGGAGACTCCAGTCTTCAGGTGAGTGAGCCACTCCCGTAATGGATCGTACCTTACTAAAACTCAGATATGGGCTTCATAAAGTGCCTCCAGTTGTATGTGTGTTGTGTCAAATATATGCACTTCTTTATTAATAGCCCCTTGCTTTTGCTACATAAAAAGTCGTTTGTTGATTAACGAGCTTATTTTCTTTTTGAGTCAAATACAGGCTTTTGGGTATATGAAGCATGTTCTCTGTCACTGAGTTACACCCCAAACCATGGTTACCTATTATTTATCCTTCATAGTCTTCATTCAGCAGTGATTTTTGATAAGAATCCCTTAATTTAGCTGGGGGGTGATAGCCCATGCCTTTAGTCCCAGCATTTGTGAGGCAGAAGCAAGCAGATCTCTGTGAGTTTGAAGCCAGCCTGGTCTACAGAGTGAGGTCCAGGACAGCCACAGATACACAGAGAAATCCTCAAAACAATTCTTAATTTTATAACTCTAATCCCTTGGATTTCTAAATGCCATTTTCCTATGTACATTTGAAGGCTAGAACTGACTTGTGAATAGAAGGAAATGGCACAAGCTTCTATTTACATCTTCTTTCTTGTGATGTTAATGGTGAATCTAGGCTGTTTTAAAATATTTAAACACAGTTTTACTTACTTTATGTGTATCTATATGTTGAGGAACAACTTTGGGGAATCAGTTCTCTCCTTCCACTATGTGGGTCCAAGGGATCAATTTCAGGTTGACAAGTGTGGTGCCCAGGGCTTTTAGCCATCTTTCATGCCATAATCTGAATTTTTAAATTTCCCTTTATGACATTCAACTACTCTTGAATGTCATAAGGAGTTTACTTCTTTTTCCTTGAAAGGGTTTTTTCTACTATAATTATATAATGATCATTTGTAGCAAGTCTTTCTCTGTCCCACCAGCCAGCTCCCAAACAATGACACAGAGAGACTTCTTATTAGTTATGAAAGCTTGGCTTTAGCTTAGGCTTGTTTCTATCTAGCTCTTTTTTTGAGACAGGGTTTCTTTGTGTAGCTTGAGCCTATGCTGGCACTCACTCTGGAGACCAGGCTGGCCTCGAACTCACAGAGATCTGCCTGCCTCTGCCTTCTGAGTACTGGGATTAAAGGCGTGTGCCACCAACGCCTGGCTCTATCTAGCTCTTATAACTATGTAATTTATAACCCATTCCTATTCATCCACGTGTTGTCACATGGCTTATGACTTCTACCTCTCCTGCATGTCCTGCCTCCTCTGCATCCAGCTGGTGACTCCAACTTTCTTCCTCTCTTAGTCCTCTTTATCCCCAGAAGTTCCACTTAACCTCAACAACCATTCATTGTAATGAGGAAAATACTTCGCCGTTAGCTTTAACATTAACTTCTCCATGAACTGTTATATTTCAAATAATTTTTAAGCAAGTTCTGGCTGCCTAGCTTAGGTTGGCCTTTAACTCACTATGTAGCCTATCCAAGATGACCTGCAATACACAATCCTCTTTAAGAGCTAGAATTACAGGTGTGTGCCACTATGCCCAACTCAAATATTTTGTTGTTGCTAATGCAAAGTACACCAGAATTTCTGATTCCTTTGATACAATTTGGTTATTATAAAAATATTAAAAATTTCATTCATATAAATAAACTATAAGAGTAATTTTCATAATTTCGAAATTCCCTGTCATGACATGACCATTAAGTCTCAACAAAACAGACTTTTCTTAAATCTTTCTGGTTTTCATCAGGTGAGGTTGGGTGACTTGGATTCTGGACTGATTATTCTTAGTACTTAGGCAATTGACTTCATTCCCATGTGTCAGAATCCCTGCAAGCTACTCTTGGAAGATTTGCCACTATGTGACCCAGGATGAGAAAAGCATCTCCTGACATGACATAAAGTATTTTGTGTGTCAGAGATATGCAACACCTTTATTTCCTAAGCTTCCACATAGTGCTATGAGTCAATCCAGAATTAATGAAAATCTATTCACAAATTCATGGGGTTTTTCTAAGTGGGGATTGTAGTAAGATAGTGGGATGTGGCTCAATGTGATTTAGAAAAGCAAGTTGATTCTATGTGGTTTTGTGTTAGTGTGAAGCTGTGTACACAGAGTGGGGGGAAATGAGATGTATGGTGACAAGCTGACCCTGAACAAGGGAAGAGCTAACACATGAATGCTGGGAGAGTCTAAGGAAGAGCTAACACATCTCAGGACACATTATTCCAAACACTGTGGGGATAAAATATAACTCAGAGGTGCTTGTTCAGTTGGCCTAAAATTGGGTAAAAACACATTCAGGCATCAGCATTAAGAATATATTCTGCCAGAGCAATATATGCCAATGAAATAATTTATAAGTTGCTATCACAAGTTATAGTAGAAAATATTTTTGTATAAATGAGTACTGGGCTTCCTTAAGGAAACAGAATTTCTCATTGGACAAGTTAATGTTCATCCATATGGTGGACTACTGCATGAGAAATAAATGCAGAGCTGCATGTACTAGTACAAAACAAAATGTTTTACTGAAAGTTGAGAGGGAGTGCATATGTGGGTGTATTACTGTATGAAAGAATTGTGACAGAGAACATTACGGTGTAATGCTTCCATTTGAATAAAAGGAGGGGGGAACAACATTTATTTAAAGGTCATCTATGCTACTCAAAACGTACACAAGAAACCTAGGACTCATTCCACTTGACAGAGATGTGCTACACGATTCATATATGATAATAAGGACTTATACCATATGTAGCTTCTGAATTTGGAACAAGTTCAATATATTACCCATTTTAAAACAAATAAATACACTATAAATCTAAACCAACAACAACAAAAATGCTAACGTTTGCAAGCTTCGGTGCAATTTCTAAGAAGACCTCTGGGCGTCGCTGTAGGTCAAAAGAAGAGAAAGACCATTTCCCAGACGCATTTGAGAGACTAGGAGAGTAACTTCCTGTGCAAACCAACCATAGAAGAGAAGCCAGTACACATCTGGATACAGCAAACAGCCCCAAGAGAAGTGGCGCTAGCTGGATTCAGCCACTAAGCGGGTGCTTATCCACACCGATCAAGGAGCACCGCAGCAGCGCGAGCCAGGAAGATGAGGCGGGGCTCTGGAAGCGGAATGGCCCGGTGGCTGCAGGTACTGTCGCCCTTCCTTCTGCCATTGTTTCCCGGAGCTCTCCCCGATCAGATCCGCTACTCCATTCCTGAGGAGCTGGCCAAGAACTCTATGGTAGGAAACCTCGCCAAGGATCTGGGCCTAGGTGTCCAGGATCTGCCCACCCGGAAGCTGAGGGTCAGCGCAGAGAAGGAATATTTTATTGTAAACCCAGAAAGCGGGGATTTACTTGTGGGTGACAGGATAGACAGAGAGCAGGTTTGCGGGAAACAGCCTCTGTGTGTTCTGGAATTCGATATTGTCGCTGAGAAGCCATTAAATATTTTCCATGTAGCTGTAATTCTTCAGGATATAAATGACAACGCTCCTCAGTTCAAACAGAGTGAGGTAGATTTAAACATTGGAGAATCCACCAGACCAGGCAAAGCATTTCCACTGGATCCAGCCCTCGACTCAGATGCTGGTTCTAATTCACTGCAAAAATACTACCTCGGTGACAATGAATACTTTGAAGTCACAGAGAAAGAGAGCCCAGATGGACGTAAGTATCCTGAGTTGATTCTAAAACGTTTTCTGGACAGAGAAGAGCATAATTTTCACCAGCTGGTCCTCACTGCTGTGGATGGGGGGGATCCTCCCCGAAGTGGCACTGCCCAGATCCGAATCCAAGTCACAGATGTCAATGATAACCCTCCACTGTTCAGCCAGGATGTGTACAGGGTCACCCTTCGGGAGGATGTGCCACCAGGCTTCTCCGTGCTTCAGGTGACAGCCACCGACCAGGACGAGGGCATCAATGCAGAGATCACTTACTCTTTTCACAATGTGGATGAACAAGTGGAGCATTTTTTCAATTTAGACAAGCAAACAGGGGAAATCACAACAAAGGGTCGTTTGGATTTTGAGACTGCTAAAAGTTACTCCCTGAATGTAGAAGGGAAAAAT